CCCGGCCAGGGGTCTCCCCGGTGCCCGCCGCCGCCCCTTCTCGTAGCTGACATGAGTCGTTCCTCCTGTAGCCGGAGAGCCGTGGCCTCTTTTTTCCCTTCTTTCTTTTGCGTAAAGTGCACCTGGACGGTGGGCAGCCTTTCGGAGGGCGGTTGGTGCCTTCTGGTTGGAGCCCGACCGGCATGCATTTCCCGTGCCTTGAAATGCAGCGTTTGCAAGTGATTTTCGTTTGTAATCAGTCCTTCCGAGGGGACTCAATGAGTGATGGCGAGTGAGTCCTAGTAGCTTTGGCCACGTCCAAACCGGAAGCGGCACCTGGATTCTTTTTTTGTTTTTAATTTTCAGTATGTGTTTTGTGTTTGTTTTCTGGGTGTTTTTGTGTGTTTTTGTTTTCAGAGAGAGGAAGGGAGAGCGATAGAAACATCAACGATGAGAGAGAATCGCTGACCGGCTGCCCCCTGCACGCCCCCCTGGGGATGGAGCCCGCACCCAGCAGGTGCCCTGACCGGGGACCGAGCCGTGACCTCCTGGTCATAGGTCGGCGCTCGGCCACTGAGCCGCGGGCAGCACCTGTGTTCTCACTGCCTGTTGGTACCGTGAGGACGTGCAGCAGCTCAGCCGGCCGGGCACCTAGCTGCATCCCGGGGACGGTGCTGAGTGACCAGGGCATCTGAGGGTGGCCTCCTGTCCGCTTCCTTGATGAGGTGCATGAACCTGCTTGACTGGGGTGCGGAGGAGAGCTCCTGGCGGAGTGGGAGCTGCCTGTACCAGAGCAGGTTACCTGGCGGGGAAGGGGGCTGGTTTTAAATAAAATGGAATTCTCCACCGATTCACTCCCTGGGTGTTAAGGCTCTGGGAGCCTCAGGGAGCCCCCTTCTCCTGGAGTGACCGCCTGTTTCTAGACGCCTCCGTGTTCGGATCCCCAAGTCTGAAGCACACAGGCCCCTCCTCTCACCTCGCCTCTGGGATCTTCTCTCCCTGGTCGTATCTTAGCCTGGATGGGGGTTGATTGCACCTCTTCCTGCCTCCTGTTCCCCTCTCTCCAATCCAGCCAAGTTAGGTAAGGTCTGTCCCCAGCTCAGGAGCAGGGAGTGTGACTGCAAGTTGCAGACGGCCCGTCTTCAAGAGGAGGCGTATCCTCCGCGGAGCCCGTGGGACTCAGAAAACCTGTCTGCCCACGGCCGGAGCCTGACGAGGTTCTTCCGGGAAGTAGATTCTCTCGGTGGAAACAAGGACTTTGCGTGGCGTCAAATATGCCTCAGCTCCCACGTCACCTGTCCCTTCAGAGTTAGTTAGCACTTGGCGGGGCTGACGGTCTCGTATTTGGGGATGGAGAGAAGAGAAGCCAGCCGTCTGGTGTCCTGCACAGCTCACTCATTTCCCAGTGGGATGAGTACGTGAGGAGACAGGCACGGGTTAAACACCTGCCCAGGGGGAAGAAGGCAGGGGACAGGGCGGGATCAGACCCAGGCCGTCTGGCTCCAGAGTCCCTGCGGTTCCCCTCCGTGCCATGTGTCCTCGTGGTGAACCTTGTAACTCGGCGATCCCAGGCTCGTGTGAGACCCACTGCACAGTAAGAAAACTGGCAAAGAAGGGCATTTGCTCAGTCTGTTTGGGAATAGAATGTGTGCTGTCTGGCTTCAGAGCTTATGCTCTTAAAGCAGGTGGAAACCTTTTCCTGCCAGGGCCACACAAAATTATATCAGCTTAAAGATATTAACAGCTCACCCTGGTGCCTTGGCAGGACCAGACCAAATGATCTCGAGGGCCTTCTACAGCCCTCGGGCTCGACGTTCCCCACCCCGTCTTAAAGCATCACACCGGGCAGCCTGCCCTTATTAACAACCAGGGCCCGATGCACAAATTTCGTGCAAGAGCAGGCCTTCCTTCCCCCAGCTGCCGGCACCGGCTTCCCTCGCAGCCCTGGCTTCATCCGGAATCCGGAAGGGCGTCCGGTCTAATTTATTATTATAGACTAGAAGCCCGGTACATGAAAATCGTGCACTGGCGGGGGCGGGGGTGTCCCTCAGCCTGACCTGCGCCCTCTTGCAGTCCAGGACCCCTCGGGGGATGGTCACTTGCCGGTTTAGGCCAACTCCCCCCAGAGTCAGACATCCCTCTCGCATCCCAGGCTCTCGCAGTCTGGGACCCCCTCACTCTTTACCTCCCGCCTGCAGCAGGAGCAGGAGAGGCTCCCACCACCACCACTGCACTCAGCCATGATCCCGGCTTCTGGCTGAGCGGTGCTCCCCCTGTGGGAGCGCACTGACCACCAGGGAGCAGCTTCTGCATTGATCGCCTGCCCCCTGGTGGTCAGTGTTCGTCATAGTGACCGGTCGTCCCACTGTTTGGTGGATTTGCATGTTAGGGTTTTATTATCTGGGATGTTACTTCAAAGGAATTGAACATTTTTACATTTCCATGGCTACAATTACAGAGTGTGATCTAAGTAATAAAGAGCTAATGTGCAAATGGTTGTGATGCCCTCATGCATCACAACCGATCAGCAGGAGGCTGCATGCACAGCAGGCACAGGCGGGCGGGGACTTGTGTGAGGCTCACGGAGGCCTACCTCTTTGGGGCGATGGGTCTTGGGGCTCCCGCACTGTGACGGGGCACAGGCCAGGCTGGGGGTCCCCCGAGTGCACGAATTTCATGCACCGGGCCACTAGTAATAGTATAAGATTGCTAAGAGGATTCAATAAAACACGTTCAGGAATTTATGTTTGGTGACTGCCAGGTACATAAGTGCCCCCATCTCTCTGGAAGAAATAGTTCCTGACCTGGAGACTTTGAAGAACAGGACTTCTTATCTCGAGACGGGTTAGTCGTGTGCCCACACGGGGCCATGGGAGCGCGTTCTCTGGGACCTGGCGTGCACACCGTGCTGTTGTCCTGAGTGCTTCCCCGTGGCCAGTCCCCCGCAAGGACCAGTCCACTCCTGCGTCTCTGGGGGTCAGATCCCCCCTGGCCCTGTGGTCTTTGGTCGAGGTTTGCTGCTGCTCTGCTGCCGTAGGGGCGTGGTTGGACCCAGTTGTGCTCTTCTCTGGCGCAGTGTGTGCAGAGGCTGCCGTATTTGATTCTGGTGATACTTTCTCCGGAAGCTCCTCACCTGGTCCCCCCGCGAGAGCTCGCTGTTTGCAGAAGGGAAGTGTGGCTCTTCACGCCTGATGCAGAGGCGATAGGAAATGGACAATGCTGTGAAGATGGGAAGAAAAATGATTCAGTCCTTGGGTTTAGGGCCCACCCTAATCACTGTGCCGTCTTCACTTACTGCACCTGCAAGGACCTGCGCTCTGAGATTCCCAGGAGACGTGACTTTGGGGGGATGCTGTTCAACCCACTGCAGCCCTGAAGCACGAGCTGGCGCCACGTGCAGTGGCTTCTAAATGTTTCCGCGACCTGCGCTCTGAGATTCCCAGGAGACGTGACTTTGGTGGGGATGCTGTTCAACCCACTACAGCCCTGAAGCACGAGCTGGCGCCACGTGCAGCGGCTTCTAAATGTTTCCGTGCTGCGTGCTTATTAAATGTGAAGAGGTAGCCAAAGGTTTGGTTAGTGCCTTGCACATAATGAGCATTCCATAGTAAGCACTACTCCTTTTAATAGTTTTCCCAGATCACTCTGTTACTATTCCAGATTTAAGTAGCATGTTGCTTTTTAGTTGGGTATACTCAATTTTACTATCTCCATTTTAGCAACAACCGGGAATGAATGCTTCTCAGTAGTTTGAGTTCTTTAAATGTAATTGTTTTGAGAGGACAACGACCCAAAAAATCAGTCTAGAACTTAATGTATCTTCTTTTGCACTATTTCCAAAACTGTTCAGTAGTGCACAGTTCTTAAGGATACGGCGAGGAAAATGCACTAGAGGCAGGACGAGTTTTGAAATTGCTGCCTGCGTCTCCTCTGTGGTACGGCTCCTGCTGTCTTAGAATTAACAACCTGTTAACCACGCATCTCCTAGACGGACTGTAGGGCCTCTCATTCCTGTGGCAGCTCTGCACTTGCTGTGGCGCAGGCGAAGCCGCCACGGGAGCCGGTTGCAGGGTGCAGGGTGCGGCTGCAACCGTGTTGGTGGTGGAGTCTGGTGACGTTCTGAGTCAGTGGTGCCGTGACTTGATGTTTAGTGTTTTGCCTCTGTGAGTAGCATAAGAAAGACTAAGTTTCTTACCCATAAGTAAAGGAAAGAATGCTTTCAGATAGGATTGGAAAAGTAGATAAGAAATTACTATAAATGGCTAAGATATTTTATACTCTTTTTTCATTTAGGACAAAACTTTTGGTCTAAAGAACAAGAAAGGAGCAAAGCAGCAGAAGTTTATCAAGGCTGTCACTCATCAAGTTAAGTTTGGTCAGCAGAATCCACGCCAGGTAAAGACTTAAATTCTGCATTTTCTTTATTCACAGTTAAAGATACTTGGTAATGTTTCAGACCAGAGTCCTACACTTCAGACTTTTCTGCTTCTTGTCAGGTGACTCAGCGGTGCCTCTTAGATCTTCCTCGAGCCGCTCTGAGATGGTCTAACCTCGTCTAAGGCCACACACTGGCGATACATGCTCACCCTTCACTACTTACAAGTGACCACTTTGTTTCCACGTAGAGCCCCTTTCTGACTCTGAGAGCAGTTCTGCAGGAAGTGTCCTGTGTGTGTGTTCTTGCAGGCACATGTGCCTTTCTCTCTGTGGCCTGAGTGTATTCAGAGGCACATTCTAGATGAAGGGGAATGGGTTTCTAGTTTTCATCAATTTGCCGGATCACTTCCATCAGATTGTAGCACTTCAGATTTTCACTTGCAGTGCATGAGTTACAGGAACTAAGAAGTAAAGATGTTTTAAGATTTAGCAGTTTTGTGCCATAGTTTAACCACACCGTTTCATATATACTGAACAGCATTGTAAAACGGGTGTTACTGTTAGTGTTACATGTCACTGGGCAATGAAAACAATTATATGAAATCAAATGTTATTTTATACCTGGGAATATTATAGGTAGCACAGAGTGAAGCTGAAAAGAAATTAAAGAAAGATGACAAGAAGAAAGAATTGCAAGAGCTAAATGAACTGTTCAAACCTGTAGTTGCTGCTCAAAAAATAAGTAAAGGTAAACTTTACATTTCAGAAGTATTATTTTTATCAAATATGACTCATGTTTAAAACTCTTAATTTGTTTTGATATATATTCCGATCATAAGCTGATTGTATCTGCTATGAAAATGATGTTCCCTTTGTCAACATTATCTATCATTGACGTTCTCACAGTTCCTTTACATATGTGCACAGCTGTGTCATTGTACAACGTTTACTCCAGCCATTAGCCCCCCAACTTAAGGCAGAATTAATGATTTAGTTGCTGTGTAATATCCAGTCTTTGGTAGTAAACAAGGCAGACCTCGGGTTCTGTAAACGGAGGCCCAGACTCCTGGCAGTGTGCCTCCGTTTGTGTTCTCTTTACCTCCTGCCTCCTTACCCGCAGCTGGACAGGTTATTATGGAACAACTTACACGTGCGTTCGGTTTCCCATCTCCTGCGCCCCCTTTGTTGTTTTTTTTTTTTTTTTTTTTTGGGGGGGGGGGGGGTTTGTAATAAAAGAAACAAAAATGTATATAAAATGCAATAGAAGAAACAACTTACACGTGCGTTCGGTTTCCCATCTCCTGCGCCCCCTTTGTTGTTGTTTTTTGTTTGTTTGTTTGTTTGTTTGTTTGGGGGGGGTTTGTAATAAAAGAAACAAAAACGTATACAAAATGCAATAGAAGAACTTGAAAAAAACGTCACACCAAACACCATGAGTGGTGTTTTCCTCTCACATCAGTGAGTAGGAAATCAGAAGTTAACCAGAATGATTGATCTCACCTGGAAGCTGTGCTTTAGGACCTGGCAGAGTGCATTACAAATGCATGTGCCGTTTGCACAGGTGCCGACCCCAAGTCTGTGGTGTGCGCCTTCTTCAAGCAAGGGCAGTGCACGAAGGGGGACAAGTGCAAGTTCTCCCACGACCTCACCCTGGAGAGGAAGGGCGAGAAGCGAAGTGTTTACATTGATGCAAGAGATGAAGAACTTGAAAAAGGTATTTTTAAAAACATTTTCTTAAAGATCAGTGTCTCTGGGTTTGTTGTTACTAAGAATATTTAGTGACTTGAATAGTACTTCGGTGTAAAGAATAACTATTGTTTTTTTGTTTTGTTTGTTTTCATAAAATCTGAATTTATTACATGATGCCCTTTGATTAAGCAAATGAGGATGATTAAACACCAGTTACTTCTTTTGGATTTGTCTCTCACCTTTTCTTATAGTCCTGCTTTCTCTTTTGCCTGACTGCTTAGGGTTTGGGTGAGTATCTCACACTGTTGATGCTCACCTTTGGTGTCTGAAGCAGATACATGGTCACACGTGCTGCAATACAGCCTTCCTGTCCACGGAGAGGAGCGTGTGCTTGGGGGGCAGCAGATAAAGACACAGCACTCAGTCTCCATGTCTTCTTTCCTTCCAGACACGATGGACAACTGGGACGAGAAGAAGCTGGAAGAAGTGGTGAACAAGAAGCACGGTGAGGCGGAAAAGAAAAAGCCCAAAACGCAAATAGTATGTCCTTTTCTTGCATCGAGTGGATTTATCTTTGGGGACAATCATGCTGTTTGTGTTGATTATTCGTTACGTCCCTGGGTCTTTTCATAAAGATGGGGGTTGGGGTGCTGGGCTTTGTTTTGGAAGTGGACACGTGCAGGCTATAGAGTTAAATTCTTGTTGAGAAGTCGCCTTTGAGAACCTGTGGCTGAGCCCTTCAGTCCTTTTCTGAGTGGCCTTTCTTTCTCAGACATGGGTGGCACAGGCACATGTGCCAGTAAAAGTTCTCTTCCTATTTTTTTGCAAAGCGAATGGATGGCAAATGTTAAACTCATCCACTTAACTAATAATTCTATTTTGATCAGAGAGCTTTTAAAGCACACGGTGCAAATAGTGTTACAGGTGAATTGTGGAGTAAGTGTTAATGTTCTAGTGTTGCAGGAAATGTACTTTTTAAAATTGGTGCCTTATTTCTCAGACCCTGCCTTCATGCTCACAGTGTTTACCTGTCACGCAGTCACAGGGGAAGCCTCGCTTGGGCTAGGAAAGTTCTAGGTGCTGCTTCTGTCAGAGGCCCCTCTCAGGGCCACCAGAGAGGTGTTCCCGGACAGGACAGCCCCTGAGCCCGTGGGAGAGGTGTCCCAGCCTCGATCCTGGTCTTCTCATAGAAATGAGTTTATACGAGGGACCTCGACAGCATCGTGAAAAGCCAGATCTTCAAGCACTGAGAGCAGGCACCTTTATTGGAAAAGCAAAGCGAGCAAACTACCCATCTGGCTCCGGAGCGCAGACGGGCACTCAGCTAGTCTGAAGGGAGGTTGGGTGAGGTCCAGGCGTCGTACGCCCTCCTGTCTGTGGTCTCAGAACCCCTCTGCTGACGGGCCTGGCGCAGATGACTTCTCAGGCCCCTGCTGACGGTGTGGCCTCCCAGAACTCACCAGCAGCACCTGCCCGTGGCCTTGCCAGCCCGGGCTGTGGGCGTCTCTGCTTTGGGGTGAAACGGCCCTTCCCTCCCTCCTTAGGGGTCTGTGCCCGGGGCTCCCAAGCGGCCTCGGCTGGGGAGGTGATGGCTGCCGCACTGTTTGGCCTGTGTTAACTTCCTGTCTCAGCTTCCCTAGGCCTCCTGCCCTGGAACCCTGGAACAGTTTTACTTAGACTTGTAGTTCAGGAAAGAAATATGTACATTAGTTAATTTTTCCTTCTTGGAAAGTTTATTGCCTGAGGCTTCAATACAGTTGCATCTTGCACCCATTTATGTTCTTTTTAAAATTCATTTGAGAGAAACATCAATTAGTTGCCTCCCCCACTTGCCCTGACTGGGAATGGAACCCGCAACCGTTTGGCATACAGGACGATGCTCCAACCCACTGAGCCATACTGGCCAGGGCCCATTCATGTTTGGAAGGGTCACTGTGCTTTGTGTTCCTTATATACCTTGCTCCCTTCTTAGATGTAAGAAATTCCCTAGAATTTCAAATAATTCAAATCGTGCTTACATCATTACTGCATTGGTTTTTAGGTCAAACCAAAGCAAAATCATTGGTTTTATTTCTTATAACAGTTATATTTTCTTTCTCTTATTTAAAAATCAGACTTCAGATTACATTTACAAAGGCTAAATGGAGCAAGTCCTTTTGTATAATTCAGAATTTACAACATTGTCTCAAAGACAGAAGTTTTATCTAGATCAGTGGTTCTCAACCTTCTGGCCCTTTAAATACAGTTCCTCATGTTGTGACCCAACCATAAAATTATTTTCGTTGCTACTTCATAACTGTAATGTTGCTACTGTTATGAATCGTAATGGAAATATCTGATATATGCAGGATGGTCTTAGGCGACCCCTGTGAAAGGGTCGTTCGACCGCCAAAGGGGTCACGACCCACAGGTTGAGAACCGCTGATGTAGATCCTTAACAGTAAGAGCAGTTACTGTTAAGTATTTTAAGACTAACTCGTATGTACATTTCTGTACAAAGGGTGCTCTGTGCCGAGTGGTAGCCTAAGGTTGTAAGAATGTACTTGTTCTGTATACGTGAGCGTTTACCTTGGAAATGGACTATACTTAGCTGCTGCTTGTGCATAATGTTGTCTCTGCAGGTGTGCAAGCACTTCCTTGACGCTATTGAAAACAACAAATACGGCTGGTTTTGGGTCTGCCCCGGAGGCGGCGATATTTGTATGTATCGTCATGCACTTCCTCCTGGATTTGTATTGAAAAAAGATAAGAAGAAAGAAGAGAAAGAAGATGAAATTTCATTAGAAGATCTCATTGAAAGAGAGGTAACTAGTATCTTTTCCACCATAAAAAGAAAAGGCAGTATTTATTGTGAAATGTTAATATTTACCACTTGGGGGCAACAGCAGGTTGTTATAAAAGAAAAAATAGGCTCTTTCCCTGAAGTTGCCTTACTTTTTAAGTTTCTTTATGTGTAGATCCAGCCATAATCATTAGCCAAGTAAGACATTAATTGTAGGATTAGGAAATCATTTTTAAGTACTAGCCACTGGGTTGTCAAATAAATGGTTTCCATACGATTGAGTTACTAGTTTTATCAGTTCATTAAAATGCTTAGTCAGTATTCTCATTGATGAATCGGAGGGAAGTGGAGGGATGGGGGAAGATTAACCAAAGAACTTACGGGGGGGAGGGCTGGGTGGAGAGGCGCATCTGTAATACTGTCAGTAATAGTGTGCCTGTGTGTGTATTTATTTTTTCTTAATGAAGGAGACATAATGGGGAAATTCAGAGTGAACTTGAAGTTTTTGGGTTTTTAAAAATATATTTTTATTGATCGCAGAGAAGAAGGGAGAAGGAGACAGAGGGGCGGGGAGAAACATCAATGATGAGAGAGAATCATTGATCGGCCACCTCCTGCATGCCACCTACTGGGGATCGAGCCCACAACCTGGGCATGTGCCCTTGACCGGGATCGAACCCAGGACCCTTCAGTCCGCAGGCCAACGCTCTATCTACTGAGCCAGACCAGCTAGGGCTGAACTTGAAGTTTTTGATGTTTACCTGGTGTCTTATTTTTCACCATTTTGCTAACGGTTCCCGTTGTGTGGGAGGGGACAGCTCCCCTGATCAGCATCTCTGGGCTGGAAAGGAAGGTGCGGCTTATTGAAAACAGTCTCCCACGACTCGTCTCTGGCTCAGCACAGAAGCGTATTCTAGGAGTTAGCCGATACCACTATGCACATGATACAGAGATGCTGAGATGACTGGAGATGCCAGCTGTAGGCTGTGCATTCTGAACTGGGTCCATCTCACCGTGTGTTGGGTCATTTACATCGTGTAAGTGTCTGATACTAGGATTTTACACGTTTGTTCTCAAATGGACGTGCTGCTGGAGTCTCACGCTGCAGGTGGTAGACGGTGACAGGAAACGCAGGCTGTGGAGTCGGGTGCAGGGGTGTTTGTGCTCCGGCTCCACCGCGTGCGGGGTGTCAGCCTCTGGGACATGCCCGTCGCGGGTGCTTACGGGGGCAGGTTGGTGTGATGGAGACTGGCAGGCGGGCGTCCGGCAGGGACTGTTCCCAGGTGATTGCTCCCTGGCGGCTGGCCCTGAGGAGCAGGGGGCATGCTCTGCTGCTCTCCTCGCTGAGGGACACGAGGAAGCAGGGATTTGGCCACTGCCACCGTGCCCTCCACGTTACTGTTCCCAGCAGTTCACTTACATAGCTTCTCGTGGCAGGTTTCACTTGCCTTCGTTTCAAAAAGATCCCTAGTTCAGAATGATGCCCTCACTGCCATGTGACATAAAAATAAGTCCGTTCTAGATGTAATGGCTTCGTAACAGGCAGAGGCTTCATTGCACGAAGAGAGAGCGACTAGACTCTGTGAAGGGGGGATGGAGGGGAAATGACTCTCTTCTCCCCACAGCGCGCCGCCCTCGGTCCAAACGTTACCAAGATCACCCTAGAGTCTTTCCTCGCCTGGAAGAAGAGGAAGAGACAAGAAAAGATCGACAAACTGGAGCAAGACATGGAGCGAAGGAAAGCAGACTTCAAGGCGGGGAAGGCGTTGGTGGTACGTCCCCAGGCCCAGGTGGACTCTGTCCCTCCTCTCGCTTATCCCGTGTGCCTGGCAGGAGCCTTGCCTGAGCGTGTGTGTGTGTGTGTGTGTGTGTGTGTGTGTGTGTGTCTCTCTCTCTCTCTCTCTCTCTCTCTCTCTCTAACGCTGCGGCCGGGAAGTGTTGAATCCTGTCCTGAGTCCGTGTCCTTGTGTCCGAGTAGATCAGTGGCCGTGAGGTATTTGAATTCCGTCCTGAACTGGTTGACGATGACGATGAGGAAGCAGACGATACGCGCTACACGCAGGGAGCAGGCGGTGATGAGGTAAGAGACAGCGGGCACCCCCTCTCGCTGGCTGAGGGGATGGAGTGACGGTGGCGCAGCGCGGGTAGGAGTGCCCCCTCCGGGGCTCTGGTCAGATCTGACTCACCGGGCATCACCTGTCCTGGTCTCCACCCTCATCCTAATGGGGGCAGGCGTACCCTCGTCACAGGATGCTCGTGAGCATCACACGAACAGGAAGTACCTTTCCTTTCCAGGACTAGGGAAGTGCCTGCTGCATAGTTCAGTGCTTCTGTGATAGCTGTAAGAAGTGTGTGTGTGATCCTCCCTCTAAAGAAGAAAGGACTTTCTGTTTAATATTTTATACTAAAATATTAAAAGAAATCATGAGACAGAAATACTAACTAAAGAAAGCACAGTCCTGGCTGGGTGTCTCAGTTGACTGGAGCGTCGTCCTGGGCACCAAAAGGTTGCAGGTTCATTTCCTGGTCGTGGTGTGTGGGCACCGACCGGTGTTTCTCTCCCTTGTCCTCTCTCTCTAAAAAGGGGGAGAAATCAATAAAAGTAAAATTTTAAATTAAAACAAATAGTGCAGAGTGGGAAGCAGGAGGCAATAGCACCATCATTTGGTTGTAGGCAAACTTAGTAATAGCCGAGAGCGGACTGTTGTCTATGTTTATAAAATTCTGGCTTCTGTCTTGCAGTTGAAAGATAAAAATGCCGTAGTCTATGTGTGGGAGTAGGATGTCAGAGGAAGGAGCTTGAATATGGCATTGCTGTTTTTTCCAAGAAGCTTAAAAAGTAAAGTTTGACAGTAAATCGTGTTTTCCCTTGACGGCAGCGATGATTTTGTCCCATTGAGGTAGAGACAAGTGATGGAGATTGTTCTCACTAGAAACACTTTCTTCGTGTGTTTTTGAAGGTTGATGACTCGGTGAGCATAAACGACATAGATGTGAGCCTGTACATCCCAAGAGACGTGGACGAGACGGGCATCACGGTGGCCAGTCGTGAGCGGTTCAGCGCGTACGCTGCAGAGAGAGACGGTAAGGTGCTCACTCGGTGACTCAGAACCAGGGCGCCGTCCGACGGGGTTAGGCCAGGCTTGACCACCCTAGGTGCCCACGGGCACTGACCGGCAACGTGAGTGTGTAGTGTGACTGAGGTAGAAGCCCTGAGGAGAGTGGAGGCCGTAGAAATGGGTGCTGTGAGCCGGAGCTAGACGGGGACAAGAATGTGTGGGACGGACCTCGAGGCGGAGATTTTGGGTGTCAACAGTGGCCCTGGGCTCTGGCCGGGGTGACTTCCTTGGTTGGAGCCTCGTCCTGTACATGGAAAAGTTGGGGTTTCGATTCCCCGTCACTGCACATATGGGAGGCAGCCACTCGATCTCGCCCTTCCTCACTGAAATCAAGAAACACGTCCTCTAGTGAGGATTTTTTTAAAAGAAAAAAAAATAGGTGGCATTGGGCCCACCCTCCTCCTCCCCGGGCGTTACCTCTCCCTTGCTCAGCTCCAAGGCCCCCTCTGCTTCTGTAACTTGTCCCCGCAGCCTCGCTGGCTCACTCTGCCTCTAACTTTCTAAATGAAGTTTCTCTTGTAATTGGAGGGACAAGTGGCCTTGTCTCTGATCCTGTGTAGACACTCGCGGGAGGAAGCGGTTGGAAAGTCGTTGAGCTGAGAGAGAGAGAATTCCCAGGTGCAGTAGCAGGATGAGAACTTTCTAGAGCAAACGGCCAGCATCGGGGTTAGGGCCAGTTTCAGGGGAATCAAGTGGGGTGACTTGGCAATGACTCTTCAGCTGCAGTGAGGAAGGGGCTGCAGGAAGAGGTCCCAGAGTTCACCGGGCTGTGGTGTGTGAGGAGGGAGGACAGGACATGGTCAGGGCTGGGCTCTTAGGGTACGAGAAAGCTACACATATCTGCCGGCTGTGGGAGGAGGGCCTGGGAGAGGAGGAGGAAACGGGAGGTGAAAGGCTGTCCATTGTGGAAGCAAGAGCTAGAAGTATAAACGGTGCCTTCAGCTCAGGACGGAGGAAGGCCGGTAGGTGTTGGAGCTGTGTCAGGCGTCCTTATTTCCAACCTGGATGAGCCCTGAGGGAGGACTTGAGAGAGGTAAAGGTTTGACCTGGTGGCGATGAGGAGAAGTGGAAAGAATGCTTACCAAGGCGTGGGTTGGGAGAGAAAAGGCTGACCCTTGTCACCGTAAAGGAAGCCCAGTGTAACATGGGAGGCTGGCTGCCAGCAGGTGCCTGGAGGCCGGTCAGCCGCGAGTGCTTCCAAGGTCATGACCCCAAGGCGTGGTGGTCGGATTTCTGCAGTTTGTGGATCTAAAGGGGCCACTGAGCGTTGCCTGTGTCAGTGTTGGTGTCACTGAGCAAGGCACGGCCACGTCTGTAGCTTGTGAGGAAAAGGAGCCGCGTGGCCACGTTCTCTGCTCGCAGGCTGATGACGGGGGTGTTTCTGGGTTCACTCATTTCCAGCATTGCCCCGTGTGGCTTAACGACTCCAAAGCCAAAGCGAAGGGGCCGCTTACCTCATACGTGTTCCTATTCCACAGCCATTTGTTCAGACAAAATACTGGTATACGTGGGTGTTGACTGTTAGAACCTAATTGCTGGTCCTGGAGGGAGCTGTTGTGGGGGATAAATCTTGCCTCCGAGGTCCGAGCCGCTGAGCAGGCAGAGGTTGGAGGGGAGACGGTTTGTGCTTGTGCAGGTGGAGGGGACGGTGCAGCAGGCTCATCTCTCAGCTCAGGGGACAGGTGACAGGCGGTTCCTGCTGGCGTGGCCTCGGGACGGCGGGGACGGGTGTAGTGTGGCCTCTGACTGTCGGTCACTAACAGCAGTGTCTCTGTCTCGAGGCCTTACTGTTTGCCGTTTTATGTTTAGAAAACAAGCTGAGCGAAGCCTCGGGGGGCAGGGCTGAGAACGGCGAGAGGAGCGACCTGGAGGAGGACCACGGCGGGGAGGGCCCGGAGGACGGGGTCGGCGCGGCGGTGCCCGTGGACGAGAACCTCTTCACCGGGGAGGACCTGGAGGAGCTGGAGGAGGAGCTGAACACGCTGGACCTGGAGGAGTGACCCCGCCCGTGGGTCCGTCAGCTGCCCCCCAGCATGAAGTGAAGGGACTGCACTCATTCCTTCCACCTAGAACTCGTCCGCAGGACGGCAGTCCCATGCTGCCTCCGAAGGACTCCTCTCCCTCGTGGTTCCTCCGCTCCATCTCCCTCTCCCAGGAAGTGCAGGTAGTGAGTGCAGTACCTCCTGGCAGAGCATCGTCGTAACTGTCCACTCGGGGCCGGTGTCCTGCTCCCCAGCGTCTGGTGTCATTGGCATGTGTCCCTTCGAGGACATCGTGTACAGTTCAGGACCCTTTATTTAATGCCGTCTCGCGGGTGGTGTTGTTTCTTCTGTATTTATGTTAAAAGACTGCCTGGAACGGGAGCGCTGTGCTTCCTGAGGCACCGGCAGTACAGGTTCCCTGTTGTATGTTCTGGAGAAGTAGGTGGACCTTTACAGTGAATCTTCTTTAATTGACAGACCAGCTGCAGTGCCCTGTGGTGAACTGTTTTAATCGTATCCTCTTCTTTTTTGCCAATAAAGTTGTAAATAAAGACCATCAGACATTACAATCCAAATATGGGCCTTGTGTTTTACGGATTTCTGTGAAAGATTTCTTGGCATTTCTAGCTGGAGGATTTTAACTGATACCTGTTCCCGTGAACTGTCCCAGGTCTGATGCTGCTGCAGAGCTGAGGACTGGCAGTGCTGTGGCTGAGTCACCACACGGAGACTCGCGGACGCTGCAGGTGGTGGGCAGCCCACGTAACCCACCTGCAGTGACCGCGTGCTGCCGAGGCGTCACGTGGAGCTCTGGGGTGAGGTGCATGCTGGGCTTGATTATTGGAAAGAGGGTCAACAAATCCCCCACGCCCTGGGCCGAGAGCCTTTGACATGGAGGTCCCCTGAAACGTTAGGGTAACATTTCAGTGGGCACGAAATGCTAATGACATCGTTAGTACCAGTTACACCTCTTTATTACTTCTATGCAAGTGTATTTTCAGATATAGGCACTTCGGTTATTTGCAAATAGAAGTGGGTGTTAAGGCAGCTAAGAGAATAGCACTATGTCCGGTGGCCTGGGCCCTAGTCCCACTTCTGCTTCCGGTAAATTGATGGTTAAACCTCTAAGCATTCGTTTCTTCATCTGCATATAGAGTTCGGGTGCTTCTAAGTGTGATGCCTGAGGAAGATGATTGTCAATCTTGGTAAATGGTAACATCAAAGGCAGAGAAGAAACTGCCTGCCTGGTTGAGTTCTGTAATTGCCACTTTGAAATGGGGCACATCTGAGCTTCATTCTTCATCCACAACGACAGTGCACTCTGAATACTCTGTGTATAAGAAGACGGCTTGAGTTTTAGTTTGTATCTATGAAAGATTGGTCCATTCTTTTCTTTTTCTTTTTTTAAAATATATTTTTATTGATTTTTTACAGAGAGGAAGGGAGAGGGATAGAGAGTTAGAAACATCGATGAGAGAGAAACATCAATCAGCTTGCTTCCTGCACACCCCCTACTGAGGATGTGCCCGCAACCAAGGTACATGCCCTTGACCAGAATCGAACCTGGGACCCTTCAGTCCACAGGCCGACGCTCTATCCACTGAGCCAAACCGATTAGGGCTGGTCCATGCTTTTTATAAAAAAGTTTTAGATGTTATTTATTGCATTTTTAATAATAAAGCATTTTTAAATAATCAAATGAGCTTAAATCTTTCTAAAGCTATACCCAAGCAATCTTTTTTCCCATTTTGAAACCATCTAAAACTTTTCCTAAGAATTAGCTCATAAAAGTTAGAATCCATTTACTTTAGACCTTAAACTGTGTGGGGTTTTTTTGGTTTTTTGTTTTTAATGTATATAAAGTAGACCTGTGTAAGTCATAGTATGCTAAAGGCTTTTTGGTGTTTAATTTAAATCTCAAGTATTACTACCTTACAGCAAGCATGAGAATGCTATATATGCTCAGAGAATGCAAAGCATTTTAATCTGAGAAAGTCAAAATGGAAAATTAAATCTACCTCTAAATAACTTAGGCCCCTATATTAATACAATAGGTCTGAAATTGACTCTTCATTTTTAAACACATTTACACATAACTTGACTTTCAAATAGTTTTTCTTACAAATTGCTCTTTTGTGTAATTCCCGTTGTTAACACAGTAGGTCTCTGTAATCCATTATCCGTTAGCTTCCTTCTAAAGGGTTTGTGGTTTAGAGATTCGGAAGCTTAAGATGTAAGCCTCCCACAGGGGGAGCTGGCGTGGCACCTGCTTCGTATGGTCTGTAACGAGGACTCGGCGTCATCTGATCTGGACCACATCAGCCAGCCCTCGCTGTCTTACACTCACAGTTACGGCTCATCACAGCCCCAGGTTTGCCAAAATCTCTCTAATCAAAGGGAATTACAATTTTTTCTTATTTTTGCACAAACGGTTTGTGTGACACGAAGCCCACCATGGGAACCTGATAATGAAATTGTGTAACTACCATGTTTTTAGTGCTCGAATGAGGTCACTAACCATTAATTGATTTAGAATGTGGTAGGAATAAAACTCCAGGATACACACACACACACACAGTTTATGTGTGAGCACAATTCAAAGAAATACAAGATGAAATAAGATGAATATTTCTTGAAGAGAGAAGACCAGATACTGCCTATATTCAGAAAAACAGTATTTCTTCAAAACAGTGTTTTTTAAGCGTTTGCAGAGTATTCAGATCTTCAAAAGATGGTTTTCAAATTATTTCTGGAAATTTTAATTAAGAGAAACAATGTGAGAAGGATAGACAAGGGTAAGTAATTATCACCTAACCCACACCCTCCAAAATGCCACTCGGTATAGAAACAGCAGCATTGGGATTGCGGTTTTCCTGAGTGGGTCTAGCTAGGTAGCATTTTAAAATTAAGAAACTTGCTTAATACAATAAAGCCAATTGTCTTAGGCTTCATTAATTCACTCATTTTTATTAGAAATAGCACCTAATTGCATTTAATAGGCTATGGGCTGTCTAGAATGCTACCAGTTTATTTGAAGTGAAATAAATGAAAATGCGGATTTCTCTAGGTTTTGATAACGGGACGGATCACTGCTCGTTCTTCCTGACAGAATGGCGTGGTGCCACGTCTTCAGAAGCCTGCTCATCTTTTCATCTTCGCTTCCCTTTGATAGTTGAGGATCAGAAGACCAAGCTGTCGGGACTCGTCCCAGGCGAGCAGCAAAGCCTAGGAATACCGACGTGAGCCAAGGGTTTCCGACGCGTGGGCGCACACGCGGGCTGCTGGCAGGTTCGTTCTCGTACCGACGTTTTCCTACCGATTTAATTGCATGCACAGGAGTTGGCTACTTGCTTGTAGAACTGGGAGGAGTACTGCTGTGAAAAACAGAACAATATGTAGGAATTTGCTGTGCAGTGGCTTTCACAGAGAGACTTTTTTTTTTTTTGCCATAGTTTTGCGTAAGATAGATCTTGCAGATGAGCTTTATAGTGAGTTATTTAAAAGTGTTCAGTAAGCCAAATTCCAAAGAGCTGCATTGATAGAACTGTCTGGATTAGTTTCTCTGGTAAAACTGGCCCGGCCGGCCGGTGGTTGAGCATCGACCTGTGAACCAGGAGGTCACAGTTCCATCCTAGGTTGGGGCACATGCCCGGGTTGAGGGCTTGATCCCCAGGGCGGGGCGTGTAGGAGGCAGCCGATCCGTGATTCTCATCATTGATGTTTCTATCTCTCTTTCCCTCTCTTCCTCTCTGAAATCAATAAATAAGATTTGAAAATATATTCTGTCATTCCACAGGTTATCTTTTCACTGTGTTGATTGTTTCCTTTGATGTGAAAAATTTTTAAGTTTGATATAATCCCACTAGTCTATTTTTGCTTTCATTGCCTGTACGTTTGGTTTTATTTTAAGAAATTATTGCCCTAGCTGGTTTGGCTCAGTGGATAGAGCGTCGACCTGTGGACTGAAGAGTCCCGGGTTGGATTCCTGGTCAGGGCACATGCCCAGGTTATGGGCTCCATCCCCAGTGGGGGTGTGCAAGAGGCAGCCCATCCATGATTCTCTCTCATCATTGATGTTTCTGTCTCTCTCGCCCTCTCCCTTCCTCTCTGAAATCAATAAAAATACACATTTTTTTAAAAAAATTATTGCCAAATCTTTTGTCCTGAAGCTTTTCTCCTATGTCTTAGAAGTTATAGTTTTAGGCCTTAGGTTTAGTCTTTCATCCGTGTTGAGTTCAATTTCTATGTGGTGTAAGGTCAGCGTCCAACTTCGTCTCGGGCATGTTTTGTTCTTCTAGATTGTTCTGCCTACTTGGGGTCCCGTGAGCTGAGTACTGTTGTCCCCATGTTCAGAGGAGGTGAGCGAGGCCCAGAGGGTGAGAAAAGGTCCCCAGTCCCCTCGCCGGTGTGGGGGGCAGAATCCGATCTCAGTCTCAAGGGCATGGCTGTATGAGTAGCTCTTTGTTCCTGACGGTCGCTGGTACACTGTGGGCTATTGTGCCTGCCAGTGGGAACACCGCCATGGCTGTGGTTTCACTAGGACAGTGTCCCAGCTGTTCCTCGGGCAGCGGACCCCCCAGATGCACCAACTGGGCTGGGACACCGCGGGTGCTTTCAGAATGAATAGGAACCGGGACCCCAACAATTGTGCAGTGACGCCGTGAACTCGCAGAGCAGCGCGTGACTGTTTAAAGAATCCATCCGATAGACCCATTTCTCAGTGTGACGTCGACCTCACAGTAGCCCTGGTGACTAGAGCTTTCTCGTCAGAGTGACCAAGCAACACCCCTTGATAGCATGCATCACGACACAGCATTTCCTGCGTCATTGCCTGCGAGGCAGGTGCCCGTGCTTTAATGGACAACGTGTGGCGTCAGTAATTCACGGAAATCGTTACAGGAGAAAGGACCCTGTGACACCTGACCGTGTGGGGCCGTGTCTACTGAGCAGAGACCGTAGTTCAGTCAGACGTGGAGGGGAAAGGTGGTGGATCTCCACTGCGTCGTTTCTTTTTAAGCATCTCCGCCTTTTCATTGACGCAGCAAACACTGTGCAGCTACTGTGTGTGAGCTCTGCAGTGGCACCAGGTAACAGGGCTGAGGCTACCAGTAAAACAGCAGCAAGCACCCGCCCCCACTACGGGGCCCCAGTCTGCCGGGCAGGTGGGAAAATAAGTGGCTGATTTCAATACAGTTCCACACGCATGTGCGCGTGTGTGTGCGTGTGCGTGTGCCAGAGCACGCACGGGAGGGCCGTCTCAGACAGGGAGGCCAGGGCTTCTATCACGGCCCTTTACCTGACTCTGGACGTGCAGAGGCACACTGTGAGCACGTGTGGCTCCTAGTGCAGCAGATGGGACCGTGAAGGGAGGAGGTGGCTGAGAGGTGTCTGATTTTATGGTTGAAGCGGTTCTAAGGCCTCAGGAAACCATAGTTAAGATTCAGGATCCTAAAAACTCAAAAGCAAGCTTTCACAGTCAAGTAGCAGTGTTAGAAGTCCAGGACCCCTCGCTGGTTGGGCTCAGTGGATAGAGCGTCCGCCCACAGACGGAAGGGTCCCGGGTTCAATTGTGAAC